AGGCAGCTGGTTTACTAGATCCACGCTCTACAGAGCACTCATCTGAAAAGATGACTTTTAGCCAGTCTTCAACACTCCAGTCTTTGTGTAATTCACACCATTCTCTTCTCCTTTCAGCTGAGGCTTCTAACAACAAAGGTCTCTTCTTGGCAATCCAATCCTTGATGCCTTGGTCCTTCAGAACTCGGTAGACTGTAGCATGGCTGCAATCCAGCTGGAGATCCTTCAAAAGCTGGCCATAGTTGTGAAATGGATATTTACGCGCATAACGCACAATTGTACGCTTTGTGCGCTCTGTACAAGCTTGTGGACGGCCCATGCGAGGTTTGGAGACACCGTGTAGTCGCTGAGAGGACCTTTTGATAGTAGTACTAATGGTACTGGCTGTAAGGTTGAAGATCTCGCGTATTTGACGCTGTGGTACACCAGCAATAGCCATTCCAACGATCTGATTTCTTGTAGCTGGTGAGATCTCAGTATTGCGACGTCTATTACGCGGTATCACAGCAAGAGCACGAGTTTGTGGCGCCATAGTGGTGGTTGAATTGATAGAGTGTTATTCTAGCTGACGCGTCGCGCGAATCTGTACGCAGACTTTTGCCGAGGTATCATACAGCAACAACGCGACATAGAGGTATACGGCGCATGCTTGGTACCATACGATTGTATATCTCGTGAATCGATTCGTTGTAGCAGAAAACAGAACCCAGTAACCTACATCACTTTCTAGCGCCAGATCCCGGCAGCCTCGCTGAATGCAGTCACTCTCGATGGCTTACTGATGCGTTGCGCACTTTCGTATAGCTGCATGGTCGCTCATTTCCGGCAGTCTTTAGAAGCGCTGCGTTCTATCACAAAGGAGTAACACGTAAGGATCTCTCAAGAACGAAAACACTCATTCAAGAATGCCCGCCGCGCCGGACACCGCGTCTATCCTCTCTGGGACCTCCTCCGCTCGTACACCCTACACGCGCTCCGCCCTCTTTACCCTCGATACCTTCTCCAGCGCAGATTTTATTGTCAAGGATTTTGTCGAATCGCTATCGGATTCGGCTACACCCGCATCGCGTCGGTCAGGTCCGGCTACCGCCAATGCAGCATCCACACAGGCCTTCGATCCGAAGCCATTGATTAGGACCTTTGAGCAAGCGCTGAACAGACTGAAGACGTTGAGTGAAGACCTGGAAATCAGAGAGAATGAGCTTAGCGCAAGTGTGAGGCGAGCGGAGGCACAACACAACCAGAACATCCGATCAAGGGAGCGGGAATTGGAAGAAGCCGTGGACTCATTCCGGCGATTGGAGAGAAGTCTGGATGGTGATATTGAGGGTGGAGGGAATGCTGCTGTGCGCATTGGCGAGCGTCTTGAAGAGCTGGACAGACAACGACAACGAGCACAGGACGCCAAGTTCATACTTCAATGTTGGCTCGAGGTCAGCGCTCGCGGAGATCTGTCGAGCTTGGAGGATATGCGAAGACTAGGCGGTGGTGAGGGCAAAGTCAGATGTGCGCACATTGCTAGACAATTACTCAAGATCAGTCAACGCTTGGAGCCACAGGTCAATGGAACGAATGGAGTTCAATTCGCCAAAGGCTACAGCGTGTCAGAAGTGGACGGCGAGACTACGAATGGAACCGAGGGCGGGCATCAACCGAAGGAGATCATAGAGAAGTTTTGGAATCGCTGGAAAAGGATCTACTGAAGCAATTCGACGAGTTTTACCGAAGACAAAACTTTGACGGCATGCGGGAATGCGCCATTGCCCTTCGCGACTTCGGAGAGGGTGCGAGCGTAATGGGTCTGTTCGTCAACCAGCACCAGTTCTTCATTGACAGGAGTCAGCTTGTCACAGAAGAATTGTCCGGGGATCCGGAGACGTGGGAGCGTCTAGCTGATCCAGACACCGAACCCCGGGCGTTGAGCCAAGCTTGCAGAGTCTCATCGACGAGGTGAAGCTGGTTGTCCAGGAAGAAAGTTTTATCATCAAGAGGGCCTTTCCTTTCTACGAAGAAGTACTTGCGAGGTTCTTACAAAGAGTCTTCCAGCAGTCTATCCAACAACGGCTAGAGATGGTCCTCGACAAGGCCAACTCCATCTCGTTACTCGCTTTCCTACGCTCTCTGCAATCCGCGAAAAGCTACATCTCCGCTTTGGTTGAGGATCTGAAAGCCCATGGGTTAACTGAACATCCGGAACCTGCTTCGTCACAGACTGCTGCCGTTCTCGACCAACAGCTTGAGGATCTGTTTGTGCCGTACTTTGTCGGTTCCTCTTACATCGAGAACGAGAAGCGAAATCTGGCAGAGCTGTACTCTTCTCTGCTGTTCAAATTCACCACATATCACGTAAGTCGGTTCGATCCCGCACATGGTTGTGTCACCAAGCTGAAAGTGTTTCTTAGTCGCGGCGGCGGAAAATACCTACTTCGTATCTGAGTTCGCTGTCTGCACGCAGCAAAGAGCTTGTCTCATCAGCACGCGATGCATACCTTGAGCGTCTTGACTCTGCAGACATTCCCAGCTCCCAGAAGGCGATGCTTTTACGACTTGCAGGCATGAGCCACGCCAGTGCTGCTGCACACAACCGTAACGAGATTGACGTCACCGAAGAGGATGGCGCTCTCAGCTTGCCGTACACTAAGCGGATGATCAAGTGGCTAGCTGAGGGTGTAGGCAGAGGCCTTGAGCTCGCCGGAGGTCATGAAACACCAAAAGATATACGTGAACTGCTTGCTCTTCTCATTAGCCACATGGGCGAGATGTATCTGGAGACGGCGCTCGATGCTGCAACGGACGCGGCGACCGCGCAGGAGAACAACACCAAGTCCGAACCCGACTTTTCATACATTTCAGATCTGCGATCCAGCATCACCATTTTGGATCTTCTCGATGTGACCATAGAGAAACTCCTTCTACCTCTGGCTGCGGCCAACGTTACGGTTCGACGCGATCTGGAGAAAACGAGGGATGAGTTCGTCAAGCGGATGGAAGGAAAGATCGATACTCTTTTGCAAAGGACTATCGACATTGCGGTGTCGTGGACGTCCCGCTTGCTATCTCAGCAGAAGAAAACAGACTTCCGCCCTAGGGATGAGGCTCAACTACAGCTCGATCAGCTGCAAACTCCCACCTGTCTTGCCATCTTCAATTTCCTCACGCGCCTCTACTCGCGCACTTCAGCATGTCTTTCAGGTCGCGTCTTGGGGAAATTTTCGGAAGAATTGGCACTCGGCTTGCGGTCACTGTTGTTCAGCCATTTCCGGTCTTATCAAGTCAGCTTGACGGGCGGACTTGTGGTGAGCAAGGACATCACCAAGTACATTGAACTCCTGCGGTCATTCAATTTGCCCGAGAGCTTTAATCCGACCCTGGAAGTTTTGACTGAAATCGCGAACTTGTTCGTCATCAATCCTGAAGCGCTGAGGGATCGGCTCAGAGGCGTGGGGAGTGCGGCGCTGACGGGCATCGAGAGAAACGATCTTAGACCTTACATCCTCAGGCGCGAAGATGCGGGGACAGTGGGCGTGCAGAGTGTACTTAGCGCGTTATAGGTATGATGGGCGCTCTCTGAGAAAACAAGCCACATTTCCATGTGATTAATCACACTGTATCTCGAGTGCAGCTTGCTTGTTACACTTCTTGATGCCGTACGAGATGACTTTTCGCAAGGCAGCCAGCTGACCAAGGTTCAGAACCTCTGTAGCGCCGCAAAACAACATCCCGCATGCCAGTGTCAAGTTAGAATTAGAGTTTCCTCCATCCTATCCACGGTTTTTCGACCGCAGTGATCACACTGATGAAGATCACAGGAACCACTAGCTGAGTCTTAGACGGTCTTACTCCCGCTTCCCCTTGGTCGTTCATGACTTGAGCCCCGGCTGGTTCAGCTCCGACCATAGCTCAATGAGCTCGTTCTCGGAGGATATCCATCTCTCCTCGTTCCGAGGTCCGCACAGCACACTGATGCAAATCACACCGGGCGGAGTGCAAAGCAGGGACCTGGCACCGCTTGCCCGCTGCATGAGATGGATCATGGTCTCGATTCCTCCGCTATCGTCTTTGGCATTCGTGGCAAGTCTCAGCTTGGTTGGAAAATTGTCCGAAAATCGTATCTTGCGGACCATGTCACGATGTGCTTGTGGTAGAGATTTCACCCATCTGCTTCCGTTCGCGCCGTTGGTGTGGAAGATGGCGTTTTCGCCGTAGTAGAGCTTGGCGAATCTTTGACGTGATTGGCGGTTGACGTGAAGCAGGCGTGGAGGCTTGTAGTCGGCCTTGATGTAACGAATGTCCGCATCCGGCGTGAAGGTCAAGTCAAATATCTGAATGTAGAGCTCAGGAGGAAGATTGTTGATAAGGTCGGATAATTCCATGATAGTAACGATGAGTTTGCTGCTGGCTGCGATCTTCAGGCGCGTTCGATTTTCCGAAGTGTGTTGTTCCCAGGATGATGGAGCGCTTCGCCTATGGCATACCCAGAGTAGGAGCGCATGTTACACAGCGACATGCAGAACATATATTGCAATGAAGATGGCGATATCGTAGCGTTGTTTGGTTCCGCTGTTTGAATCTGCAAAATGGCGGTCAAGTAAAGGGGAGGCAAGAGTCAAATTGTAAAAGCGGGTCATATGTGATGGGATTGCCGCCGGATTCCTGCGGATGTCTCTCATCAGATATGCAATCGTACTCACCGCATGGCTCCGATCACAACGATGCCAAGGTGTTCCTTTCCAGCATCCTCCTTGTCGCGCTCCGTCTAGGCAGACTTGAACGGGTGAAACACAGGCGGGAGCAGAATTTGACGGGGACAAACAAAGGTCAAGTCATCTAAGACCCCAAACCTTGACCGGGCTCTTGATAATTGACTTGGCTAGGGTTGTGTAGAGAAGCACAGTTGTAGGTGCGGCTTATGAGACACATTCAATCCAAAAGTATCCTCCAAACTGGACTCTCGTTTCGTTGTGCAGGTCGAACAGTGGGACGTAAGTGCAAAAATCCATTCTCCGCTGCCTGGATCGAACAGGCGACCTTATGATATTCGGAACGCTTCCAATTACAGTCATACGCTACTTCCAGCTGAGCTAAGCGGAGGCAGCTGAAAAGGCGAGGTAATCACCTAAGGCGCTAGTAGTTGCGGTAAGCTACCATATCAAAATAATATATCCCATGTCAAAGTTCAAACTTTTCTCTCGCGCCCAGAAGTGCAATTTAGTTTCTGGTCGAGAGTTGGAGTGCCCATCTCGTCCCGCTACTCCAGTGGTCTGTTGCTCTTCGAATCTCCAGCAATAGAATGAAGATGGGTGCCAGCATCAAAATACCTCCACTTAGCTCCGCAAGACTGCAACTGCTTATGGGTTATCTTGAGGTCGACCTGTTCGACGTTGAGCGTAGCTGAGCGTGCGAAGTGCGCTCCGCACGCTCCTCGAGTCTCAGTGTTGTGTAGCGGAATCACGGTGTAATATAGGAGACAAGGGTTTGTCGGCAGGCGAAACTCTGTGCATTTCAAGCTATCTGCCACGGTGACCAAGTCAAGAAGTCTTCAAAGGCTCAGCTAGTATAGCAATTGCCGGTGTTAGAAGCCTCGACTGTCCCTTAATAAACACTCGTGACCTCGACAGAGAACGTTGACCGACTCTCATCGCTAAACCCCGCCCATTGACACGTCCACCTCGGCCACCGAAACCATGCAGCCTTTCAAAACCAAACACCAGAGCCATCCATCGTGCGATTCGTTGAATTGTTTCGTCATGAAGGAAGTGAAAGACGTAGTTGTGGAGCTTCAGCAGCCGTGATCATTGTTGACGAGATTGAGAGCCGTGATCGAGGGGCGATACGTTTATTTGCTGGATTGAGTGTGAGTATACCGTATGTTTCAATTGCTGCGCTGTTGCGGAAGCTCACCTGCGGGCTCTAGTCTTTCTTCTCTTGCGCTTCAGGCGTCGGACTCTCTTCTTTCTCCACTTCGCTCTCATCTTGATAACTTGCTATCGACTGTGTCAATTGCGTGCAATCGAAGCAACCTCAGAAGGAAAACTCACGTTGTTGTCGAGATGAGTGTTATGGTTTGTAGGAAGAAAGAGCGGAGCTTTCCCAGCTCGAAATGTCAGTTGTGCGAAGTGGGAGCTCGGACGCTAACCGGCTAGCGTGGGTTAGTCAGCGGTGACGTTCGAAGGCTCACGTGAAAGTGCGCTTTGGCTGCCTGATATCGTTCTTTCACGACAAATCAACACAGCATTCTACTTCGAGCGCATCTCACACTGACAGGTTTAGGGGTGAGGTGTGGTGAAGAGATGTCTGGCGTTGACTCAGTATTCACTATCAGCTCGGGCGGTCACAGGACTCGACCTGCAGCGTACCTCGTCTTCATGAACACCGAGACAAGAGAACAGAGTAGCTCGGTTATCGGTACCTTCTCGGCGACGGACAGCTCACCATGGCACAGGTCTACAGCCAGTGTTACCGAGAGAGTACTTCTATGTTGGTCGGAGGGAGGTCGAGAAGTACGCTGCTGCATTCTTGGTGTAGGATCTCCTGTTCCCTGACTCGGACAGATTTCTCGGCGTAACGGATCCTACAATCTCAGCTCGACAGCTTTACTTCCATTGTCTGGTATACGAAGATGATGAATCGCATGGTATCCCGCCTATGGTCTACGTCCAGGATCTTTCACGGAACGGCACAGTCTTCAAACGGGCCACGAATGGAATGCCGTTGCCGGACGCGATCTCTTCTTGTGTCCTCGATCGTGAAGTGGGAGCGGTGTTACTCAATCACGGCGACGAGCTATGCTTGACTGAGACCATCGTGATCAAATTCGAGTCCTTCAGTTTTCATCAAATCCTTCCGGACCCATTCGCCTTTGTTCAGAAGCAGGAGATGAAGGTGATCGATTGTTTTGATCTTTTGACGTTCTCGTACTGAAATCAGCAGGTATTCAGGGATCGATATCATGTAATGCGCCGCTTGATTGGTGCTGGTGGCCATGGCAGTGTTTACGTAGCTCTGGAAAACATGACAGGGCGTCAACTCGCATGCAAGATCCTGTCCATTGATGAACACCTGAGGAGGGATCTACAAGATCTCTCACGGTTCCGTTCAGCTGAAATGCATGCACTTTCCGATAAGGCCAGTGTACAAGGGAACGAAGCTTTGCAACGATATTCCCAAGCAATTGTGGCCAGAAGACTGAACAAGCTCGAGAGAGAATACGATGTTCTGGACGGCTTGAGCCATGCAAGTCGAAACTGAACTGGTTGCTTCGTATGTACTGACATAGGACAGCCCAACATCATCACCGTTGAACAAGTTTTCTTCACGACGCACAATATGTAAGCTCAGTCCTATCATACCATTCGGCCTAGCTTTGACTCTCCTCAGCTACATCATGCAAGAGCTCATCACTGGTGGAGATCTTTTCTCCTTCCTCAACTACAAGCGCGGCCGTCTCGAGGACGTCGAAGCTGCCGTTGTTGTTCGGCAATTGCTCAAGGCTGTTGAATACTTACATGACATGGGCGTTGTCCACCGTGATATCAAGCCCGACAATGTTCTGATGACATCCTGGCGTGATGGTGCTCGAATTGTGCTCACGGATTTCGGCCATGCAACTAGGATTGAGCTGGATGGCGGGTCAAAGCACGCCGACTACAGCAAGCATCGGATGCATTCGACAGTCGGAACATACGAGTTTACCGCTCCGTTTGTTTGCATGCATCATTAACCCCACAATCGATCGCTAACATTACTCTGCAGGGAAGTTCACGGGAGAAATCGGACAATTCCAAAGGACCGAGGCTACAGCAATGCCATTGACATGTGGTCCGTCGGCGCTATCGCCGCTACCCTTCTCTCGGGAGATGTAATTTTCGTGGATCGAAAAGATGAGGCATTTGAAAACGACCCGCTCAATGCGATTATGACACTCGCTGAACGTTGTGATCTTTCGATTGTTGACTGCGGTTCGGTTTGGAAGTCAGTTGGGCACCGTCCAAAGGCATTCGTGAAATCGTTACTGGTTCTGGAGGAAGATCGCCGCCTGACCGCGAAGCAGGCCTTACAACATCCATGGTTCACCAACCATCGTCACGCTGCAGAGTTCGAGGGCGTCTACCAAAGGGCGATCAGTGACTGGAAGCCTCGTACACCCAATAAAATCCTGGTGGAAAGCGTCGATACTAGTCGTCTGGGACCGGTATCGTTCCCGACCAACCACCGCCAGGTTCCTCAGACATCAGAAATATCCCATTACTTCAACACGCCCTTCAAGCCGCCAGTACCACGCTCCCAGGACGTCTCTCCGCTCTCGAAGAAGACCAACCACACATCTTTACCCCCTTTCCACGAGGGTGTTTGCTCGCCCGACCGCTGAGAAGGGCTTTGCTGTATGCTCACTAACCCCGCAGGGACTCAATCACTCAGCAAAGTGGGCATTTAATCTAGCTTTACCATTTACATGCCGCCGGCACGAAGTAATTTACGCAACCTGCTGTTGCGAAGAAATCTTGCGGTTGTGTTCGGGGTCTTTGATTCTGTCGCAGTGTGATGGTTCATACTTTGCTTTGTATACCCCACCTGTACAATAGCCTTCTTTTGTTTTCTCCTCTTTGATACCGCTGAAAACTAGATACTGGCAACATTTTCATCTCCTGTATCGTGCTCAATGCCCGAAAGGAAGCTGTCTCCGCAAATGGTCGGGCATGTAAGTTTTCGCTTGCATCCGCTTCTGTGGTAAGTTTGAGCATCTACATCTCATCCAAATATGTACACATCATCTTGGCTGACCGACTCGTGCAAGCATCCTCGCAGTTTTCGGCTCCTTTCAAACTTGATCAGCCTAAACGAGAAGAAAAGAAAACCCATCTTGTAATGACTGGCTGAAAACATCGCAAACTCGCTCAAGTATACATTGCGAACTTTATCAACTCCACCGTGCCATATGCGTCACGCAAGGCCGTCCTTTACACCATACGAATCGGGAATTTAGCGATGCAACCGCCCGCGTCATTAGACCCAGTTGGCCACAAATCACAAACGTGAAAGAGCTTACCTCCGTTGTTCGTACAATCTCTGTCCTACTGCCGCTAAATGTGCAGATCTTGCGCAAACAGCCGAATCCTGCAGACAATAGTCATATTCGAGTATGCAGAGTGACAGGGCAGGCAAACCCACACAGAAATAAATACACCTTCTTTCAAACACTCTCCTAATCAAGCTTCTGCATATCTGTTTCACCTCACCTTCGACTCTTCAAAGCAAGCACTCACTCACCGACCTCAAGATGCTGTTCTCTTTCACAGCCGTGGGCTCCGCCACCCTTCTCTTCCTGCAGTCTGTTGCCGCAGCACCAAAGGGCCTACAAGCCAGCGCCTCCGTTTCCGCGTCCGCGAGCGCGAGTGAGCCCGTAAGTCTAGATTTTGCTATAGTGGCCTTTGGCCCACCCTCCCCTATCTTTGTCTCTTCCTCTCTCATCTTTGACACCCTCCGCCCTTGAAAGATGGAGCAGCAAATAATAATGATGTACCGTAGGTCAACCCGGACGACCTCTGCTACGCCAATGACGACATGTTCTACACTGGTCAAATCTTCTCCGACGTCAACGGTGTCGTATACAACGTTAGCTGCAATCACGACAATACGGCTCCCGGCTTGACTTACTACGACGCCGGCCACGAGGGCTTCACCAATTGCTTCGCTCAGTGCGACATCGAGCCCGGATGCATCGGGTTCTCTTACATCGGCGGCGACACGGGCCGCTGCTACCTCAAGACTGAAAAAGGGAACAACTTCTTCTCTGATGGCCTGGTTACAGGGTTCATGGTTGGCCGGAGGCCGGATATTGTGCTCGTGCCTGTGAAGGCCAGTGCCAGTGCCAGCGCTTGTGCTAGCGCTCACGCATGAGTATACGAGACTGCAAAGGGCTTGAGGTAAGTGGCAAGCCCAGAGCTGAAATGACGAGTGGAATGAGTGAGGAATATTGCGTTAATCTGGTGGATGTGGTGGGTGTGATTGTACAATAACGCATAGAAGATGAAAGCATACAGTGTCTGTACTTCTTGTAAATGTTTACATCAGATGACCTATTGAACATTGCT